ACGACGACGACTATCCAGGCTCACCATGTTGTACAAGATAACAAATGGACTGGTGCACTGCTCCGGAATCAAACAGAAACTCGTTAATCTTCCCCCCAGACTGCGACGAAGTCACGACAAACAGTTCCGGCTGGTAAAAACAAGAACGAAGTACAGAAGCTCCTCATTCCTGCCGAAGACAATAGGGGACTGGAACAAGCTTCCAAAAGCAACAGTTGAGGCGGCTACACTCGATACATTTGTGTCTATTGCCTCCTGTATTCCAACCCCCAGTTCATAACACCACTGCTGAGTCGCCCTTGCAACCAGTGAAGTATCCCATTGAAACCCATGGACAGTAACATCGCAAACCTCTCTGAAACATAGGAGCCAGAATGATCAATTCATTGATCGTGGGGCCCTTAAAATAAAGAAGAAGAAGGAGGAGATGGAGAAAGTCAGATGCGCGCTCCATCTCCAGAGAAAAACGTATTAAAAAAAAAAGCGAAAATTCAATATTTGAAATGTATTTTTTTTAAAAGCACAATGCCGAGCGGTCTAAACTGAATCAAACTCAAGATGCAAAAACATGACCAGCACCCTGGGTAGATGGAACTCGTTAATTTTGGATGGCAACTCATCTAAGAGAAGCCGACTAATGTAAGAGAAGGCAACTCATTTAAGAGAAGGCAAACTCTGAATGGAGAGAGTAGTCCGTAGGCGGTGCACAATGAAAATTCCGACCGCTCCTGTGACGCAGAACGCATAAAGAGCACAGTAAAACACACACACACTGCTAGTCTTCTTCTGCCTTCTGGTCTATTTCCAGCAGTCTTGAATAGTCTTGCCATTGGATCCAAAAGGCAAGAACGAGAGAGTGATGCCGACGAATTGAGCGACTCCTTTTTTTAAAAAAATACAGCTCAAGGCCACTACTCAAGTCTAAAATTGGCTTGGTCATTTCCGCGTGCGATGGACGAACACCATCAAAATGAGGGAAATGTAGACCCAATAAAAAAAATTGCTGCGCGCAATTTGTTACATGTTGTTAGCGTATTATTTTGTATACCAGTAATATAGGTAATTTATTAAATTTGAAACAAAAAATTTGTTGTAAAATACTGTTTCAAGACTTGCATTATCGGGAAAATTGCATCATATACACTCTCTGAACAAAACAGAATCAAACTTATCTTCCGTCCCTATTAAGTCCTATATTTTGATTTTTTTTTTTTTTTTTAATATAAGATCAACGTTTGTAATAGGGTGGGGTGTTAATTTTATAATGACAACATGCTTTAAATATATTATATTTTTCATATAATTTTGCCACTTTTTTTATAAACAATTTATAACAGTTATCAAGAAGAACTTCTTTTGCAAATGGCAGTATAACTTTGGAAATATTTAGGAAGGTAATTAATACACTTGCTTTTTGTGATGGCCACCTTTTTGAATAGAAAGTTTGTTTTTTGTTGTTTTTTTGTTTTTGTTTTTTTTTGTTGTTGTTTTTTTTTTTTCAAAATTCATTTCTTAATAAAGGAAGATAACGAAATGAATAGTCTATATAAAGATATATTAATTAACAACATTAATATTTATTATCCACTGAATA